CTGCCCTCGACTGCCCGCCGCCCACCGCCCCGCCCGCGCTGTCAGGGCGACGCGTTTCCGATCGCCCGCGGCGCCTCCGCCCTCGCCATCGCCCTTCCGCCTGCGCGGCCCAACGGCCCCGTGGCCCGAGGATGCATGCGCAGGACCGAGGCCCCAACGTTTTCTATTTCGCTCTTTGCTCTACAGGGCTACGTTTCTCAGAGCAAGCCCTCGTGGCTTCCGTGTAATCTTTCTACTTTTATTTTAGTTACTGGCGAAGGAAAAATTCTCAGACGTTATAAATGTAGATCCTAAAATTATATTACGTCAATACATTTGAAGGGATTTTAAGGTGCTATTAACACTTTTTTAAAGAAATAATAATTTTTTAACTTAAAGAGGTGACTTTAATGGAAATTAATTATAAAATTTGTATGTACTTGAATTTGTATGTAGCCATTAATGGCAATCCCATAAAGAGCAATTGGTCTCGGCGCCGTTAGATCCCGGGTTGCCTAGTCGTTCACCCAACCAGGAACTCGCAATGTCTCGAGTTTGCTTAATCTTCGAGATATCACGGAGTTAATGAATTCGACTAGCAACGCCAGTTTCACGATCGTGGCCTTTCATTGGAATCATCCCAGTATTCGCCTGGATGACCGAGGGAAACCACGAAAACCCCGGACAGGATGGCCGGCACGAATATTGAACCCTAGCCTCCCGAATACAAAGGTAGCGCGCTTTGCACTGAGGCACTTCGCTCGGTAAGAATAAACTACAATAATACAAAATACATTAATATGAGACATATGCATTCTTGTGGTTTCCCTGATCCTTGCATCCTGGGGTTAACGCGAGACGACGCGACGCGCCTTGACCCATTGGTTTCAAGGGCCAACGCTTACCTCTCAGGCCTCCATTTTTACTTTCTCGCTCTTACTTTGCAAGAAGAGAAAGGGTTGTAAACGTGCGACGGAAAACGGAAAATTTGTAACAGAAAAATTATTATCCGAGACTTGTTAACGAAGAAGTGGATAAATATTATTCCTGTAAGAAGTAAATTACGTCCTTCGTTCGTTTCCATTTTTCTTGGCCCTTGATGCCGAAAAATCGTTTGACAGCAAAACGCCTACCTTTCTCACCGTCTGTCTGTGGTTTACGTTAATGCGGAAACCGTTCAGCCGATTTTCTCAAAAAATTATATTCCTCGATCCATTTAAAGGAACTGGATGCTCCCTAATTTGGAAATGTGTATTTTGATTTTTGGTATATTTTACATGAAGCCTCCACAATAATTTCAAAATTTTCTCAATTTTCTTTATTAAAATTTATCCTCGAATACCGCATAGAACGTTAAAAAGAGTATGCTGCAGATATCATATCGTTGAATATCTGATTTTTCGAAAATTGCAAAAGTTAAAATTTTTTTGGCGTCTGCCTCAAATTCAAATACTCAATATTCAAGGTATTTTTTTCCTTGACTGAAATGTTTTATAAAGACAACTTAAAATAAGGTCATATACAATTTTTCAAATACAAGAGTGATTATCACGGCTTTTTGTGAACAATATAGGCAAGTTTTGAAAATTTTCAAATTATTATTTCCTCAAAAATGGCTCCAAATTTTTTCACATCAGAATTTTTCAAAAATATTATTAGTGTCATTTTTTTACTACTTTGTACTATTCCAGAATCAAAATTTTAATATATTGGAGACCTTACGGAGACTTTTTAAAAGTTTGAAACGGATTTTTTCATTTTTGAAGATACTTTAAACCTCTACTTTAAACCTCTTACTTTAAACCTCTAATTTTCAAAATGTTTTCCAAATTGTTTCAAATTTTTTGAAAAAACTTTGTCCTCAGTGTAAAAAAAAACTTTAAAATGTCACATTTCTTATTATTTGAAATTTCTGAAGTTTCGAATATTGCAAAAGTTAGAAATATTGCAAGAAAATATGTAGCAGCATTAGTGAACTTTCCGCTAATTAAATAAATTACAGCTTACCTCTAAAGTAACTAATCGTCTTTATTCCAGAATGGAACCTGTCTCAAAATTTTAAATGAAAAATAATCTGATTGAGAAAACAAACAACAAAATGAAGGAAAGTCCCAGAAAATTTTAAGCATTTCCAGCATTCAGTTGAATTTTCTCATTTTATAAATTGACCAAAAATAAGGGAAATTTCTCCTGTAAAATTATCATTTTTCGGCTTTGAGTATACCTAACGCTACATTTGAATTGTTCTTTAATATCGCAAATCAAACCAATTCGAAGTTTGCGAAGCAATTAGGAGACACGGAGGAGAGGCAAGGGCTGCTACCGGTTATCCATCGTCACAGCTATTCGGAACGACATATGTACTCCTTGAAGGCATTTAGAATTTGCAAAGAGCAGGCAACGCTGCAAATTACATCAGAGGGATTCAGGAGTTTCTTCAAAATCATCAGACCCACGCGCATCACTTTCAAAGACTCTTTCCATAAACTGAAACATTTTATTCAATTCTTGTGTTTCCTTTTCATTCGCCTGTGAAGGCGCTGCAGTCGTTAACCTAGCCGTACCACGCAGTGTTCCGAGTGAAAAAAGGAGGACGCAAGCGAGTAAAATTCAAAATTCTTGAATGCGCCAAACTCACATGACACTCACAAACATATTTAGCGTGTGCCTTGTGATGTTAATGCCATCCTCATCTTGTCACAAATTGTATCAGCAACCGCTAATGACGGAAACGTATTCCTCATTATCTCTGTCAAATTTATTTTCCAGATTTGGATTTGAGTGTTTTTGAAGTACAAAAGGATTAAAGGGCCCCGAAGTATTCCACTTTTGTGCTGATTTCGGAATTTTTAATAACGCTCTGAATGTGCAAATTTTACACTGTTTAATAAACACTTGGAGTAACATTGAACACAACTCCTTTGCCCACTGGCCAGCGTTCGACTGAACCATGCTTTCGAATCGCAATGAAATTTGCACGACAACCCTCAAACGTGTGAGGAATTTGTCATGAATAAAGACTTTCATTGCTACACGCCCAATCATCTCTGTATGTGAACGTTCGTTGTACCCGACCTTCATCGAACACAAAACGCCTTTCACCAACTCTCCAACCTCTCTAAGCTGGCACTGCCGTAATCGGTAATCAAATATGCCACCATTTAGAACCATTTAAGTGCTAATTAATTACAAAACATTAATTTAATTCCTCTTCAAATTTTGCAGAAATTAATGGGGATTTGTCTTAAGTTTAAGTTGATACCATCACAATCCGACGTGATTAAGGCCCTTAATGACAAATGACGCTGTTATCAATTGTTTTATAACATATAATCTTGAAGTGAACCTGTCATAAAATCTGAACAATGACTCATCTATTAGGTTATCTTGTTCTGGGAAACAATCGTTTTTAAACAAAAACATTGCATCTATAATGATTCACATTTGTTGTCATTTTACGTCAATGTCTATAAATAATATTAACGTTAATTTAGGTTACCTCAATTAGCTTACATGCCTCACCTCGAAATTGGATTTTCATTTGTTCTTTTACAAATGGCAGTGTATTAATTATGAAATATTTTTAAAAGACATGAAAGTGCAGTACCTAAATTTTTTCCCTCGTTGTTGTAGCTAATCCCTAAAATCTAGAAGTCTTAAATTTTGGCAAATAACCACCAATTATTATTATATCAATCAAATAAAGAAATATGAAACCTACCGTTCAATAGACTGAAATTTTGTCTGGAGTGACGCGATAACGTCCCAGCAGAAAGGATCGCAAGCCTACCCAAATTCTTCAAAATATGTATGATTTTAACTTGCCTCAAAAACTGAAAAAACAACACAACATTTCAGAAAATGATTGTAATGAGTAACATTATTTCTAAACGTATATAAAAATTTCATTGAATGATTTAATAATTTGCTGTGGAGTCCGTCGTTATCCCCTGTCCTTTCTTTTGTTGTATGATTAGTGATTCCGGGCACTTCAAATTCTATGACCTTTATCCCGAAAGTGTAGTGATTTTTCCCCTCGAGAGGGGGTGGTAATCTTCCCCCACTGGATGGTGAGATCCGGCACCGACCTACGACGGCTTGAGGGGATTTCCCCAACTAGATATCTCTCACCACTGTTGCACCGGCCCGGGCGGGAGAAGCTCTAAGCTCCCGACCGGTCTCCCGACAAGCGTGATAGTGCAGTGCAAGTGAGAGTAAGTTCGTGAAAGTAGGTGCGTGTATGTAAGGAAGGGGAAGGAGAGATAGAGCGCGTTCCGTGGCCCGTTTGTTAGGGTACTGCTCCGGCATCTGACAGAAGTAGGGACAACTACCTATCAGAGCAGCCGGCCGCTAGAATTCTCCTCCAGGCAACGAACGCGTTCGATCTAGCTGCTTAGCTACTGTAGAAAATCGTGCCACCGTCGCGAGTGAACTCTAGGACCTGCCCGTCAGAGGCACTGCAGTAACATCAGTAGATGCCCTGAGCCACCGCAACCGATCCCTGTCGTTTGTGTTCTCCGGGTGAAGGAGTGTGGGGTTGGGGTGGGGATGGGGGCACTGACTGTACTGAACACGTGTCAGTGTGTTCGTCGGGATTAGAGCAGCGCAGATGTCGCCAGGGGTGTTATCGCCCAACGGCCTCCTGTTGCAGGTGCGGTGCCGGCAGCGGAGGGCGAAAGGCAAGACTGTCTTGGTGCTGCCCCTCGAGTTCGCCTTGGCCTCACGTAAGTGGAGGGAACTCGAGAACAGATTGAGTTTCTCGCTTTTGTATTCAATTCTTAAAGTGTGACCCCAATCCGGATTGTCAGGGACTCAAGGACACATACATTTCTCAGTTTTTTTGTTTTATTAACACATTAATTAATTATTCTTTCAGCATATATGAAAGTAGAGAATCAGAGGGATTAAATTGAATTTAATTAATTTATCTTTAAATTATTACCACCCCAAATTATTTGCTCATCCTTGGTTTCCATGAGTGTTATTTCAAATGTGAATTCGTTTTATTTTCAGATTCGAAGGAGCTGGACAAGTGAAAATCAAAATAGTTGCGCTGACGCTGAAAGCAGACATACCATGTCGGTTACATCAACTCAGGAACAAAAAGCAAAACTGTGATAAAGTGAACAAAAACGTGTTTGTACAAGTTTTATTTTACATTTTAGATATTATGTTTTTGCGAATCGGAAATTTCTTTTATACACGATGTCTTCTTTGGTACCTGGTATATATAGTTTAGGAAATATTAATAAGAAAATATTGTAACACCACAATTATGTATTCTTAGAAATTATTTTATTATAATTAAAAAATGAACTATGTGCTTAATTTCCCCGTTCATTTGTTGCTACAAAAGGTATCAACAGAAAATGAGTAAACCCACAAATTTCAAACTGCATATTTCATTTATATTGAGAGTTACGTGCATGTTAGGTGTGTGATTGAGCATATTTGAATTCGTATTTTACAACTTGTTTGTGAATATCTTTTATTTAATGATTGTAAATTCCACTGTGAGGATCGTTATTTCAACCAAAGTTTTACAGTGCACTATTTTACGGAGTGGTTGTGCGGTAAATAAAAATAATATATGTTGTCAAACGGCAATAACGTTATCTACTAAAGACATTACTTATAAGTAAGTGTATATTGTTAAGATTATCTATTACAAAATAAAAATCATATAGAATTTCTCTTTTTCCATGGGTGAGTTAAGAGAGTTAATACGGTTTAAATGATCTTTTTCGCAGCCATTTTCTAGATACCATAGTTCTATCACAATTTTATTCACTTTAGGAGTTATTTGAATTTATAAATTATTTATATTTATATATCAATTATATGTATGTAACTGAGATATTTCTATTCACTATCTTCCTCAATCACATCACTGACATCCTCTGGTACAGCACGTGGGTTAGACGGTGATTTTACATGTTGGCAAAGGAAAATTTCAAATATTTTTGTACGGGAAGCCAGATATCCATGTTATACATTCACATAACGTGCATTCAATTGTGAACTACTATCTCGTTGCCATTGAGAACCCTGATACGCAAAGCATCCAGAACATTTGCTTACGTCAACGTTTTCGTGAGATGTGTTCGTTTCGCTGAAAGGAGCGATGATTTTCCTCGGCGCACTTGAGTAATGACGAAGGAGCCCCGATTTCACAAATGGCGGCGCCGCGCCAGGGGACGTCGACGCTCGCTGCGTGACGAGGCGCATTTCGACGCCGTGACGCCGCGTCGCGTGTCACGCGCAGACGCTCTTCCCAAAGGGCTCCGAACGAACCGGCCCCGCCCTTCCTCCGCCCTTCCCGCCCACTCGCAACAGACCCACCTCACTTCCCGCCCCATCCCTTACCCTCCCCTTTCACCTCACCCCTGACTCTGTGTCGACTGCCTCGTCTCCCTTCTCCATCCCTTGCCATGCCTAATCCCCGCCATTCACTCCTTCCCCCACTCCATTC